CAGCTGTGACCACTGTCTTGACTGTTAACATTATAGATTTTTGTTGGTTTTTGTTTTCTACTTTGAATGGGAAGGCAGTGGATGGTTCAAGTTGTTTCCCCTTCTGCTTTCTGTAGTCCAACATTACATCTGTGAGGTTGTTCATGTCGTTCCTGATAGCTATAACGTGTTCATTCTCATTACTGTGTAGTATTGCCTTGTATAATATATTCCACAATTTTATTTATTTATTTATTTATTGTGGCACTGGGATTTGAACTCAGGGCCTCATGCTTGCTAGACAGGTAATCTGCCACTTGAGCCTCTCCACCAACCCTTTTTTGTATTTTTTGTGATGGGTATTTTGAGATAGGGTCTCGGGAACTATTTGCCCTGGGCTAGCTTCGAACTGGATCCTCCTGATCACTGCCTCCTGAGTAGCTAGGATGACAGGCATGGCACTGGGTCAAATAGTTCATTTTTTAACATAGATACTTACACTCCAAAATTGAAGTCAACACAGGCATTAGTACAAATTACTTGTTGGAAGAACCTATCCAGAAAAGAAAGAAAATGAAGAAATAGAATTTAAATAATTCTTCCAAACCACACACTTGTAAATATTGTCAGATCTTAAATTCTTGACAGGCACGAATTCATGGGAAAGCAGTTTGCTGTTGACAACAGAGAAAAGCACGGCAGTTTACCCAGCGGTTTAAAATTGAAACTGTTGTGTTCTTGTGGATTTGTACTTGAGCAGTGTTGTCGTTACAGTAACAGCTGCAACTGCCTTATGCCCACCTCTCAAGTCAAATCTACAGAAACCCCGTTGCTTCCATTGTTTGTAATGTTTACTGTGCTTATCTGATCCTAAAAACTGTCTAAATTTAGTTCATATTAAATACCTCAAAATACCCAAAGGGGTACGCATTTCAACCAGTAATGGTGTGAAAACTTTTAGATCCACTAGTTTTAAAGGGTTTTTAAATAGGTTTTAACAAAATCTTACCGTATTGTATGTTTTTTTGTTTGTTTGTTTGTTTGTTTTTGTAGCCACTGGGCCTCATACTTGCTAGGCAGGTGCTCTTACCGCTTGAGCCACTCTGCCAGCCTTGTATAATTTTTATTATTACACACACACACACACACACACACACACACACACATGTGCATGGGATGAGTTTGTATCCCATCTACTTGGGAGGCAGAGATCAGGAGAATCACAGTCCAGGCTGATCTGGGCAAATACTCAAGACTAGTCAAAAGATAACGAAAGCAAAAAGGGTTGGGTACAGGCTCAAGTGGTATAGCACCTGCCTAGCAAGCTTGAGGCCCTAAGTTCAAACCCCAGTGCTGGGGGAAAAAAAAAAAGAGAGAGAGACCATCCTTGGGCTAGGGGTGTGGTTTAGTGGTAGAGTGCTCCTCTAGCATGCATGAAGCCCTGGGTTCCATCCCCAGCACTACAGATAAATAAAATATTAATTTAAAAAGACTGTGTCCTCCACACTGTCTACCTTTTCTCACTCCCTAGTTAGCTTTCTCTGAGCCACCCTATGGAGAGGCTGACAGGCAAGATGGTAATTCTTCCACTTCACAGCCTGCAAGAAGCTGAGATGCCCTGTCAACAGCAAGCTTGGAAGTGGATCTTCCAAGACCTGCAGACAACCCTGTGAATGAGCTTGGAAGCAGGTCGTCCCCATTTTGAGTCTTGAGGTGATTAACGCTTCAACAGCAACACCTTGGTTCCAGCCCTGTGTGAGACTCTGAGCCGGAAGCACCAGCGAAGTCATATGCAGATTCCTGATCCATAGAAACTGAGAGAAGAAATGTTTGTGGGCTGGCGGAGTGGCTCAAATGGTGTAGCACCTGCCTAACAAGTGTGAGGTCCTGAGGTCAAACTCTAGTACTGCTGGGCCCTGTGGCTGACACCTGTAATCCTAGCTTCTTGGAAGTCTGACACTGGGAGAATCACGGTTCAAGGCCATCCTGGGAAAATAGTTGGAGAGATCCCCGCCCCCATCTCCAAAATAGCCATAGCAAAATTGGCTCTGGTTATTGGTGTGGATCAAGTGGTAGAGCATCTATCTGTTTGTAAGTATGAAGCCTGGAATTCAAAGCCCAGTTATTGGTTAAGCCAACAAGGTATTTGGATTTGTTTTGTTTTGGAAGTTTGAACTCAGAGCCTGGCACTTGCTAGACAGACACTCTTCCACTTGAGCCATGCCCCCAGTCTTTTTTTTTTCCTTTAGTTATTTTTTCAGTTAGGGTTTTGTGTTTTGCCTGGGGCTGGCCTCAGTCATGCTCTTCCTATTTATGGCCTCCCACGTAGCTGAGATCACAGGTGTGAGCCACCACACCTGGCTTACTGGGTGAGATGGGATCTCACTAACTTTTTCTCCAGGCTGGCTCTGAACCGCCATCCTCCCAATCTCTGCCTCTTGATTAACCAGGATTACAGGCATTCGACACTGCAGCTGGCAAGCAACTAAATTTTGGAGTAATTTGTTATATAGCAACAATAACTACCATCCCCAGATACAGACTTCCAAGATATATTCAGCCTGTGGAAGTCTTATGCTATCCTGCTGGCTGTGTTTACAAAATTGGGAATTCACAGACAGAGCACTTACCCCCTCATAAGCCTACAATGTTTCCTCCCGAGCCTTTTATTCTGTTGATGTTTTTGAGCAAACATAAGATGAACTATAGTGACAGTTCTGGTTCTGTATTCTATTTTTTCTGCTTAATATGCTGCAAGCATTTTCTCGCCTCATTGAACAATCTTCAAAGCATGCTTTCTTCTAGTGGTTCTTTATGGTCTGTCGGATCAGCAGACCAACAATGATCTAACCGCTCGCTCTCATACGTGTTTTGAGCCCACGGTTGAGTTTTGCCCCCTCAGCCATATCTGTCATGTGCCCGCCCCTCTGTGCAGGGCCTGCAACCAGAGAACAGAGAAGGTCAAAGCCAACCTCAGGAGCTTCGGTTAGGTGCTCGTGATCATTGAACTAAACCTATACAGTTTCCTAACTGTGCACAGGGCTTGTTACTTCCCTAGCCTCAGTTTCCCCTTCTGAACCAAATGGATGATAAACACACTTACTTAGAGTTATTAGAGGTGTTACTGAGTTAATGCAAGTAAAATACAACACGGTGCCTAACACATATCAGGATTTACAGGATTACCAAACCATGGCACCTTACCCGCCCCTCCTCCCCAGAGTCCACAATGCCCGGTGGTGACTCTTGTCTCAGACGCCAGTCCATCTCCAATCAACAGCATCTTGGCTTCCCTTCTGCCAGTTTGCCCTCCTTGAACCTACTGGTGAACTCCTGCTCTGCTGCCATGTACAACCCTGCCGCCTGCCTTTGCTACAGGATCTTGGCATGCTGGTTAATTTGCATCATCTTATACCAAATGCACCCAGATACATGCTCAAACACTATTCTGGATGTTTCTGTGAGTGTGCTTATTGGAGGAGATTGACATGGAACGTGGTGAACTTTGAGAAAAGCAGATTGCCCTCCACAGTGTAGGCGGGCCTCATCCAATCAGTTGAAGGCATGAATAGAACAAAAAGACGAACCTGCCCACAAACGAGTGAATTCTGCAGCAGATGGTCTTTGGTCGTAAACTGTAGCATCTGCTCTTTCCTGAGTCTCCAGCCTGCCAGCCCACCCTGCAGATTTTGGATCTGTTTCTCTCTTTCTTTCTCATTGCACATCTTATTGGCTCTGTCCCTCTGGTGAACCCCAACTAATACACTTGGGTAAGTACATCTCATCTCTGGGCCTCTGTTTCTTCATCAGTAGTATGACAGAAAGATTTACTTAGGTGGCTCAGGAGGGATTGCCCACTTTTTCTAAGATTCTGGAACATTCCCTCTTCTTTCAAAGAGACTTTGTTTTCAACAGAACTTTAAACAACTATCCAAAGCAAAAAGGACTGGAAGCACTTTAATTTATTCACATCACATGCTCTGAGCCTTGTGTCCAACATCCAGGAGTGAGTTCAGTTCTACACAGTACGTGTGTGAAAACCTGGGAGAAGAGCAGGGCATGTGGGCTGGTGGCATGGCTCAAGTGGTAGAGCGCCTGCTTAGTAAGCCTGAGGCCCTGAGTTCAAACCCCAGTGCTGCTGAAAAAAACAAGTAGCATTGCTCCTCTGGAACCATCACAGAGTGTTAGTGAGGGCCTCACTTGGAGCAGACACTCCAGCAGAGCTCCCACCTGGTCACAATCCCCTGTTCTGCCTGCTGCCATTAGCCAAGGCCCAAGCGTGGTGAGGGAACTGCTTCAGAGGGTCCCACGGTAATGGGGGGCTGAGGCTGCCCAGGGCTCGGTGTTACCAGGGAAGACACAGGCCTCACTGCTGCCAGGTTCAAGGCCAGCACTTGCACCTGGCCCTTCCCACTGACCCTTCCTGGCCTTTCCTGCTGCCTTTGGTATGGAGAGGATGACCCTCAGAGGTCCACCCACCAGGCTTGGAGGAGAGCAGGCAGGGAGCAAGCTGGAAATAAGGAGAGAGCTGAATCGACCCTATGGCTGTAGGTAGCAGCACATCAAAATTCCAGAGGGTCCTGGTCCAGCTCCTCCAGACTCTGACCCACAGGTTGTACTTGACACTTGCATCATTACCAGGAGGAAGAAAGAGTCCACTTCTGGGCTTCTCCTTGGTCTCTACCCACCCAAGTTTGGACTTCAGATTGTCACCATCTAAGGCACAGTGTCTGGAACTGCCCTGCTCTGGCCCTGGGAATCACAAAGCAGAGGGGAGAACTTTCTCTGCTCCTATGAGTAAATCTGCCACCAGCCTTTGGTATGGGGCCAGGATCCCCCCAGGATACAGAGGAGCAAATGGTGGCATTTCAGACCCCAAGAAAGACTGCATGAAAAAAAACAATAATAATAAAGAGATAGGCTTGCTGGGTACTGGGGGCTCACGCCTGTAATCCTAGCTACTCAGGAGACAGAGATCAGGAGGATCACACAAATAGTTTGAGAGACCCAATCTCAAAAAAAACCCAATACAAAAAAGGACTGGTGGAGTGGTTCAAGGTGTAGTCTCTGAGTTCAAACCCCAGCACTGAAAAAAAAAAAATAGGCTTTGTGATCTTGGATGTGTCACTTGACTTCTCTGAGCCTCTATTTCCTTATCTGAAAAAAAGTAGCATGATAGCCCCATTTTTGCAGGCTGACTATGACATTGAAATAAGATAATGGTGATGACAGGCTGGCCACAGTGGTAGGCTGGCCACAGTCGTAGGCACACAGTGACAGATGCCTTTTTCCCTGGTGAAATCCTGGCCCAGCTGGTCAGACAAGAAGGGCAGCCTCCAGCAGCAATGGGGGAGCTGAGGCTGCTTTCAGAACCCAGGGTTGGGACAGCCCAGCTCCAGCAAGTGGGTTAAAAGTGAACTTGAGCAGAGGACAGCAGTGGGAAGGCCAGGGGAAGGTGCGGGCCGGAATCTTCAGCCAGTGTCTGCCACTCTGCCGAGAGTGAGAATGCAGGCTTGTGTGCCCAGCTCTGTGGACAAGCAGGCCCTGGAGCAGCTGACAGGTTGTCAGGGGAGACCCCAGTTTTTCCTTGGTGGGGTGCTCCAGCCCTTGGGTTGGTGGGCTGGGTAGGTGGGCACTGAGCTTGGAAGAATGCCCCAGCAGGCTGGAGCCAGTGTGCAAGGCAGACAGGACAAGGCTGGAGCACAGCTGGGCAGGAGGTAAAGTCACCACAGCAGAGCCAAGGGGCAGTGAGGGCAGGGGGGACAGGAAGCCAGGACAATCATGACCCTGTGGACCTGGAGAGAATTGCTGGACTGGAGAAGAAGAACCTGGGTTCTGGACCAGGCCTGGGTGCTCCTGGCAGTTGTGTTGTCCATAGGGGACAGGTTGTCCCTGGAGCCACTCAGCTTGACCCCTGCAAGGGGTGGGCAGTGGAACAGGGCAGGGTGAACACTTCATGGGGCACCGGCTCTCATGCAGGTGCAGGGTCCGGCTCCACCACATTAGCTCAGCCTGCAGGGCCTGGATCTCCTTCCGCAGGGTGTGGTTGTGTTTCTCCAAGGACTCGTGCTGCTGGGGGAGAAGCAGGTGGATGGAGAGAAGATGTCAGCCATAGTAGGGCCCAGCACAAGCCCTGTCCTCTTCTATAATCCTCAGTGCTAGGAAAAACCCACCACCTTCTGAATGTCCAGGATGGAATCACTTGGCTACTCTCCGACCAGTCCTCCATCCCCCTCACAAAATCCCTGCTATCCCTGTCCTCATGGCTCAGAACTGCCTTTTTGCCAAGCACTGGTGGCTCACACCTATAGTCCTCACTACTTGGGAGGCTAAGATCGGGACCAGTCTGGACAAATAGTTGGTGAGACCCCCATCTTCAAATAACCAGAGCAAAAATGGGCTGGAGGTGTGGCTCAAGCAGTAGAGATCCTGCTTTGTAAGCACAAAGCCCCAAATTCAAACCCCATTCCCATTAAAAAAAAAAAAAAAAATCCATACTGCCACTGCTGGTCCCTTGAGCTGACACCATTTCTTACCTGGGGTCTCCACCACCAGTCTCCCAACTAGTGTGCCTCCAAATTGCCTCATTCTCTTGGCCCAGAGGAGCAATTTGGCATCTATTATTAATTGTAGACCGAAATCTTAAAAACTCCTGAGACTCCAGGATCCAAACTCCCTGTCATGGGACTTGACGCCAGCATGTCAGCCCTGACATTAACCTGCTCTCTCCACACAATTACTGTCTCCTCCACCTGGACATTTCCCACCATGCCCCATGCTAGTCTTGAAGTGGCTTGTTCAATGTCATTCTGTCCTGGACACTGAGGGTCTGCTCAATGCCACTGCCAGGCCTCTTCAGTGCCCAGGAGGTTCTGACTGATTGAGGGCACTGCACGTAGGGACTTCAGGATACTGTCATTCAGTTTGGCAGCAGGATGTATTTTACCAGGTATCCCAGATCAGTATTTACTATAAATTGTTCTGCTGAATGCCAAGTTCAGAGAACCCACAGGGACAGTTATTAGCATGCACTTCTAAATAACCATTTATGATGACAAAAATGGTAGGAATGCAGAAAGAATTTTATTTCCACATCTTGTAAGGCCACATAACTAGAACAACTCCTTCAGTCCCCCACGGGGGACGCTTTCAAAGGAGAACTTGCAAGGCGTTTTGCATAGACATGTGGCTTAGGTGGACTCCAAGTTCTGAAAGGCCTCAGAGCCACCAGCGTCCCCACTCACAGACTGGTTCTGCAGGTGGAGTGGATGTAGCTGAAACACATCCTGTGGTCACCTTTCACCTGATTCGCCAAAGGCTTCAATTCACCTCCAGGAATGGAGTCACTTGTTCATCTCTTATTCATTCACTTGTCATCTATAGCCTGCCCCATTGTCACTGCTCAGGGAGGGCTTCTAATTTACAACCTTATCACCCTACCCCGTCTTCTTTCTCCCTCCCCTCCTCTCTACTTTAACCCTCCAGGACTTGTCACCATCTAACATTCTAACATTCTCAATACTTTGTGGGTCCTTTCTTTGTCTGGCCTCCACAAAAGAATACGAGCTCGTGTGTGTGTGTGTGTGTGTGTGTGTGTGTGTGTGTGTGTGTGTGCGTGCGCGCATGCATTCACAGCTATCCTCCAGGGTGTAGACCTGGACCTGTCAGACTGGAGACACTCAATAGACCTTTCCAGAAGGAACAAATAAATGAATGCTCAGCCACACAGGCACTGTCCTGAGCACCTGTCCTGACGCACGCCAGTCTGCTGGGTGCTGCTGCTCCCCACACCTGTGCCAGCTGTTTCACTTGCCTCCAATTTGCTTTCTTACTTCCATCCACTTAGAAAACTCCTATTCATCCTTTAAGACCAGTTCAGACCTCACCTCCTCTCTTATCTCCCGGTGCCACTACCTATGTCCTGAATCGTGTCCCTCCAAAATTCATATGCTGAAGCTGTAGCTCTCAATGTGATTGTATTTAGAGATAGGGCTTTTAGGAGGTAATTTAACATCAGACTACTTTTTTTTTTGTGGTGCTAGGATTTGAACTCAGGGCCTCACACTTGCTAGGCAGGTGTTCTACTACTTGAGTCACTTTGCCAGCCCTTAGGAGGTAATTTAGATTGAAGAGGTCACATGGGTTCTAATCTGACAGGACTGGTGACCTTATTAGAAGAAGGGAGAAGGATCATACTCCTCTCACACCTACAGAGGAAAGGCCATGAGCACTCAGTAAGAAAGTGACTATCAGCTGGACAACGGTGGATCACGCCTATAATCCTAGCTACTCAGGAGACAGAGATCAGGAAGCTTGAGGTTCAAAGCCAGCCCGGGCAAATAGTTCCCAAGACCCTATCTCAAAAAAACCCATCACAAAAAAGGGCTGGTGGGGTGGCTCAGGGTGAAGGCCTGAGTTCAAGCCCCAGTACCACAAAAAAAAAAAGAGGGGAAGGAAGGAGGGAAGGCGGGAGGGAGGGAAAGAAGGACTATATAGACTATATAGACCTGCTGAAGAGGCCTTAAAAAACGTGAGTCAATGGGCGCCTTGGTCTTGGACTTGGATTTCTTGCCCTGCAGAGTGCCAGATGCTGAGGTGTTATTGAAGCCAGTCTGTGGTGCGTTGGATGGTGGTCCAAGTGAATGAATGTGTAGCCCCCACCTACGTGTTCCCAGAGCCCTTCATCCTGACTCTATAGTTTGCTTGATGGCGAATCGTTAAGCCTCTTCTCTCTGTAAGGCACTGTTCAGCCGGCCCTCCTGGCATCAGGAGTCTGGTGAGGGATACAAGCAATGTAGATGCCATATGGAATTGAAGGTCACCACTGAGGATGGTTAATGTACTTATGGATTCCTGGGCTACTGAGCTATCATGAGTGTGGCCTTGTGAACAGGTCTCTCTCTGGCACACTTGCTGTGCCTCTCCATGTGGTACCCAGCACGAGGCCCTCACCGGGTGCTGGACAGACACTAGTGCCACGCTCCTTGACTTCCCAGCCTCCAGAGCCATGAGCTAAATAAGACTCATTTCTTTAAATTACCCAGTCTGTGGTCCATTATAGCAATAGAAAAGGAACTAAGACAGAGGGTGTCCCCACCTGGTGCAGGGCATCTGCCTTGTCTGTGTGCTTCTGCCGGCTGCGCTGGGCAGCCACACGGTTCTTCTGTTTCTTCTTCAGCTCCTTTTGATACTCCTCTGGGTCCTGCTGGACATGAGGCAGAGGACTCTGTGCTCCCACCAGGAACTTACACCTCTTCCCTGGCCTGCTGTTTGTAAAGCCAAGTCCCCTAGGGCCCCTGTTCTTTCAGAAGCCCCTCTTACTTCCTTGGTGCTCACAGTCCCCTTGCAGGCACTGTATCCTTTGTTGTAATGCCAGCCCCACCCAGTGTCCTGCTCAGAGCTCACCTGAGGGTGAGGGCAAGCTGGGAGGCTGCAGAACCTGTGATTTTGAACCCAGACAGAACTGGCCTCAAACTGCACACTGTCGCAGGCTGAGTCTCTCTGGATTAGGCATTCACTTTTTTGAGCCCAGTCACTTCACCTGCACAGGATACGGGAGGAGTGGAGGAGTAGGCAGGCCAGAGGCAGGCAGGACTAACAGGGCTGGCGCTGTTACTGCACTTCTGTCATTTCCACAGGCCAGGTGCCAGTTTTCCTATCTGAGAACTCCGTGAGGTCATGGCCAGGGTCTGACTCCATTCCGTGTGCCCATGCCCAGCTCAGGCCAAAGCTGATGTTCACTCACTCAACAAACACTTCTAAGCACCTACTGTGTGCCAGGGCCTTACCTAGGGACATAGCAGCGAATGAAATAGACAAAGCTCCCTGCCTCAGGGGCTCACACTGTAGTGGGCCAGCAACCTAGAACAAATGAATGGAGCATCCATCTGACAGAAGAGTGACCCCTGACATTGACAGTGGTGAGTGTCTCCAACTCGGGGTACGATGAGATATGAAATGTTTCATCCAAAGGTCCAGAGCTCCAGAAAGGCAAGAGGGACAACTCAACTCCCTGTCACTCTGGGGGTGTGACTTGAAGTAAGGACATGGCCACCCTGGCCAAGGGCTCTGGATGCTCCTAGTTCATTTCTGCACCCTGACTGTGTTCTCCTAGGGGATCATGGACACAGCAGGCTCACTTCAGACCCTGGAGGGCCAAGAGACTAGAGGCTGGGGAAGGACCCAGTAAGAGAAGATAAGGGTCAGGGGGTTGTGGGAGGGGATCCTGGGAGATTTGGGGAGAGGCTCCCGCAAGGGCAGCAAGGGAAGAACAGGTGAACAAGAGACAACAGGTACACAGAGTTCAAGTTCTAAACTGCAAGGTGATTTGTAATCCGACACCTGGAAAGGCCTTATTCCAATGCCCCCACTTGTCAGAGAGAAAACAGACCCAGAGAGGGGGAGGGTAGACTCTGCCAGAGGCCACACAGCCCATGGCCACAGAGCTCAGACTAATGTTCCTAACTCATCCCTCACTGCCCGGCCCTGGAGACCTTCAGCCTCATTTCCCTTCTCCTTCCCCATCCCTGGTCCCCTGTACTCACTGTTCCAGTCAGCAGTGCACCCCCCACACAGAGGCGCATGGCTTAAGCAGGGGGAGTAGATGTTCAAGCAGGTCCTGGATGTCCCTCTGCAGCTGTGACCTCCCAGTGCCCTCTGGGGTCCCTGAGGAAGTGGTGGCTCTTTAAATCCCCAGTGACCACTCCGCCCCCAGCCAGCCCAGTTTCAGTTTCTCCTAAAGCCACCAGCTGCCCAGAATCCCTGGCTCAGGCTTGCTCACGTGGCTGGAACTTCCTAACATGAACTGGCCTTCCGGGGCAGTTGGGCCCCTTCTCTGGGAGGAGGCCAGTGGAGGGTGGAGAGGAAAGACAAGGAAGGCCAGGTGTAGGGAGGTGTTCTGGGGACAGAGGGCAGGCTGCTGGGGACAGAGTTAAGGGGAGAAGCCTTCACTTCTCTGCTTCATGTAGAGTTTGGGAGAGCCTCTGTGTTCTCTGGGGGAGGCCAGGTTCACAACCCACATTGGAGCTGTGCAACTTTGAGAAAGTAACTCACTGTCTCTGAACCTTAGTTTCCTCATCTGTAAAGCGTGTGGAAAGGATAGTACAAATTCCCAGGGACTGAGACTTTACAACCATCCCAAACTCTCTGAGACCAAAGTCAAGGCAAACATGAGCCATGGCCCTTACACAGAACAGGTGAATCACTGTTTCCATACTATGACCACACAGCAGTGCAGAATGCAGTCTAGGGGCAAGGAGTCCAACTTCCAAGCTATTGACTTGGGTAGGTAAATTCATCTTTCTGTGCTTCTGTTTCCAAATCTTTAAAGTGAAGATGGAAATCATTTTGTTATGTAGATTAAGTGAGTTAAGGCAGGTGAGTTGCCAGAGAGCATTCCTTATGCAGACATTATTATATTATATATTATATAATTGTATATAGTAATATTATATTATTATCTCATTCCTTATGTTGCTTCAACCAACACTTGCAACGATGATGCAGTGGAAGATGGGATTGTGCTTACTGTCAGGCATAAAAGTTCAAAGCACACGTTATATGGAAATAGCAAGATGCCACAAGATCCAAACAATATGATAAAATATAAGGCTTAGCCAGGCACCAGTGGCTCATGTATGTAATTCTAGCTTCTCAGGTGGCAGAGTTCAGGAGGACTGTGGTTCAAAGCTAGCCTGGGCAAATAGTTGGAGCGATCCTATCTTGAAAAAAATCCTTCACGAAAATAGGGCTAGTGGAGTGGCTCATGTGGTAGAGTGTGTGCCTAGCAAACCTGAGGTCCTGAGTTCAAACTCCAGTGCTGAAAAAAAGTGTGTGAGGTTTAATAATATGGGTATGTAAATAGGTAAGTATAAAAGTACATGGGGATGAGAAGTAAAATTGAGTGGTGGTGAGGGACAGGCAGAGTAGACTGAGGGCTACACTCAGGAACTTGAGTTGACTGTGGTATTTAAGTTTGGGAACACAGGTCTCCGTGGTATTGCTACCTACACTTTGGGGAATTCCTGAAACATTCCCTAATAAAAACTTCTTTTGAAGACTAGCAAAGTCTGAAGCCGCAGGCAAACTTGTGTGGTTGTTGTCTCTCTGAGAGAGACTTGGTGAGGGGGAAGCCAGTAATTATTGTCCTGTGGTATGGCAGCCAGAACATCTTGGGGCTGTGTCTGAATCCTGGGGGCTCAAGCCCGATGGTGAGATGAGAACTGTAGATCTTCTGTATGATATTCTACAGGGTGCTGGTGGCCTGGGGTGTGATGTTGAGGAGTCCACAGCAGCCTGTGAGCAGATTAGAAGAGTGCAGCAATTGACTAGCAGTGTCTGCCATGCCTAGTGATTAGTGATGTCTGTCGTGAGCAGAGGTGTGGAGTGCTACAATCCTCTGCCCTCCACAGAGCTAGGCCTACAACCAGTCTAGGTGGCAGTAGGGTTGGAAGGCTCACCAAGTTTGTCACCTGGAGCCCTCATACCTAGGCTAGAGATAATGAGGAATCTATACACGTTCATGGAGTTTTCTTAAGAAGGGGAAAGGATGAGAAAAAAGCTCTTTCTGTATTGTAAAGGACTATCTGCCTTACGTGCATTGCCCATCCTGAGATTTGTGGCAACATATTCTGGATTCTAGGATCATTTCATAATTAGAAATGCCCTGGTGGGTAAGACTGGGCATGACAGCTGGGCCCTGCTACCTTGCTTCTAAGGGGCCTGGGGAGCAGAAGCTGAAGTGGGACACCCCATACAATGAGATTGCCTGCTTTTCTGAATTAGTTTTGTTTCCCAGACACCAGGGGGTGCTGGGTGTCTTGCCTGAGGTGGGCACCTGAGGGGCTCATTAAGCCAGTCCATAAGCTCCACAGGGAGCAATCTGGAGGTGGAGTGTGTGATGTTAACCCCCCAAAAAAAACAAAACCCATTGTGTGTGGGGCTAGGGCCCCAGTGCCTCAACCCAGCCTCCAGTCCCAAACCAGACCCCCCTAGGTCCTAGCTTCTAGTAGAGGGATACAGCAGGTGTTGTTCCTCCCAGGAGGCTATAGCCCTGGAGAAAGACCAGAAGAATTTATGGCTTGATCTCTCTGAGGTGGTGGCCAGGAAAGGGAGTGGCAGGGAGGGAGGGGTGCAGGGGGTGAGTAATGTTTAACCATGAATAGCCCTGCAAAGCTTCCTTCAGAAGGGGGTGACCTTTGAAGGCTGGCAGGGTTATACAGTATGACCCCCCCATTTAGATAGGGTTCAAGTCATCTCCAATACAATGCTACAAGATGAACGACTTAAACATTTATTTCTCACAGTTCTGGATGCTGGGAAGTCCAAGATCAAGGTGTTGCCAGATTTGGTTCCTGGTGAGGGTCTCTTGTTTGCAGATGACTGCCTTCTGGCTGTGTCCTCACAAGGCAGAGAGGGACAGGGAAAATTTTGGTAGCTATTTGTCTTCTTAAAAGGACACTAATCCAGTTATCAGAATCCCACTTTATGACTTAATCTAACCTATTTACCTTCTAAAACCCAAACCATCAAATTGAGGATTGGTACTTGAACATGGGAGTTTAGGTGGTTGGTGGTGGGGACACAAACATACAAAGGAGGAGGAACCTAATACCCAGAAATACAAGGTCATTCCACATGGAAGCAGAGCTGGAGTAAAAACACAACCTCTCTCTCTCACAAGCCCTCAGTCCTTTCTCCACACCCAGCTTGGAGGGGCCTGTGTTTGTCCAGCAGCCCTGTGAGCCAAACACTGCCTTCACATAATTGATGCAAGGTTAGTGAAGAAACGAATTAAAGCTCGGGCAGTTTGTTATCCAGGGTCCCCGAGTTTTTCCTGAGTAAAGAATCTTCTGCCTTACTCCTTTAGGGTATGCCCTGGGGTCCTGGGGGACTCTCCCCAGCCAACTCTTTGTTTTACCAGTGAGAAAACGGAGGTGCAAGCCAGGATGCATGGATGCCTGTGGCCAAGCCCTTCCCACACTCCGTGGGTTGGATAGATGCTCAGGTCTCCAGCTGCCCGAGGGTGAGCACCTCTTGGTCTAGGTCCTACCACTTTGTACATTCTCAGGGCAACAGAGAAAGCTATGGGGTAACAAAGAAAAAGGGGCCAGGTGGCTGCTAGTGGGGCTGAGACTAGGTACGGATGCCTATGGATGGGCCTGCTGGGAACTAAGCCTCAGCTGGGAGGAGCTTACAACTCAAGGGGGTATGGGACACACCTGTTAGGGAGGTCATGTCCTGGTGGAGAGGTCACTTCCTGTTGTAAAGGTCACTTCCTCTAAGGGAGGTCAGGAAAGGTTTTCCTGAGCAAGAGGTTTTTGGGAGAGACATTAAAAGATAGTTAGGCTCTATCTCAGGCCCTGGAAGATGTTTTTGGTCAAACCACCTAACTAAACTCTTTATGCCTCTGTAAAATAATAAAAGGACTTGATGAAGTAATAAATGTAAAAAGCTTAGAACAGTGACTGGCACACAGTAAGTCATGTAAACATTTGTTGAACTTGTAACAAAGCACTCAATAGGTATCTGATTAATTTTTTATTCACATAACAACAAGCTTATAGTTCATTTCATTATTTTTATTAAGGAAAAATAAAATCAAGGGCTGGGGGCATGGCTGTAGTGGTGCAGTGCCTGCCTAGCAAATGCAAAGCCCTGGGTTCAAACTCCAATATGAGAGAGAGCGCACGAGAGAGAGAGAGAGAGAGAGAGAGAGAGAGAGAGAGAGAGAGACAAAGAAAGAAAGAGAAAAGGTAAGTCTTAATAGTCAAACTGCCCACTTCACCCCTCGAGGTATAATTCCACTTTCTAATATATCACTCTTTTTTGGGGGGGGTGCTGGGGGTTTAAACTCAGGGCCTACACCTTGAGCCCTTTTTTTGTGATGGGTCTTTTTAAGATAGGGTCTCGTAAACTATTTCGAATCTCAATCCTCCTGATCTCTGCCTCTTGAGTAGCTAGGATTACAGGCGTGAGATAAATCACTCTTCTCTTTTTTTTATTTTTTGGCAATACTGGGATTTGAACTCAGGGCTTCATATTTGGAGGCAGGCACTCTTCCACTTGAGCCACATCTCCAGTCCTTCTCTATCTTAAAAAAAAAAAATGGGGTACAAAATAAGAGATGACATTCTCAGGGTTTTTTTTAATTATTATTATTAACGAAATACTTCTTTAATGAAAAAGAACTCAAAAGCTCCTCTGGCCTGGCTATATTATCAGGCAGGGCCTGCTCCTGGTAGCAAGATGACCACCAGAAAGATCAGCTTGACTAACCAAGGAAGGAAGACAACTCCCCCCCCCCCACTGCTTTACAGATAGTTCTGACAAAGGCTTGCCTCTCCTTGGGTGTGGCTTGGGTCCTGTGCCTATCCCCAACACCAGTCACTGTGGCCAGGGGATGAGGTTGGATTGGCAAGGCTGGGGACCCAGGCTTATCTTGCAGCTGGGGATGAGGTTAGCTTCCCCCAAACCACAGGGACTCAGGGTAAAGAAGAGGTGATTCCCAATGCATCAGACCGCTGCTGGTTGAAGAGAGGTGAGTGGGTTCTGGCTGCTATCCCCACCCGGACTCAGATCAGATATGAGGTGCTGCTCAGAAGGACATTTCTTCCCAGGGTCACCTTGGGTTGGGGGTGGACTTGTGTCCCAGTGTGTCTCTGACACTACGCCCAAACTCT